TATTGATGTACTTATGCTGTGTAGAAAGTTTGAGGTGATTCCAACCTCAATTTTTTAAGTTACAGCCATTTTAAGAAAATGCTAAAATTCTGAAAAGTACCCAAGGCTATAGCCCATGTTTTTTTCCAAAAAATGGCTCCAAAATCAACCCAAATTTTTATTCCATTTTCTGATACATATTGATGTCCTTATGCTGTGTAGCAAATTTGAGGTGATTCTGACTTCAATTTTAAAAGTTACAGCCATTTTAAGAAAATGCTAAAAATCTGAAAAGTATATACCCAAAACTATAGATAGCCCATGGTTTTTTCCAAAAAATGGCTCAAAAGTCACTCCAAATTTTTATTACATTTTCTGATACATTTTAATATTCTTATGCTATGTAGAAAGTTTGAATTGATTCCGACTTAGATTTTTTGAGTTATGAGCATTTATTTTTAACACGGCCAATTTTTAAAAATTACACAAGGCTAGAGTCCCTCAGTGTACATAGTAGAGATTGCAGGAATTAGAAATCCTATACTTAAATATCACAGAAAAATAGTCTACCTCAACATATACTTTATATTAACTATCAACTAATAATAGATGTATATAGTTACAGCAGGTCCTTTCCCTGTCATTGGAAGGTTCATATTGACATCAGCTATAGCTTGGTATAGTTGAGGTACTGTAAGTACACTCATTATTAATGTTAATTCAAACAAAGATGGTATAAAAATACATCATGTACATGTAATTACGTATCTGTATATTAATAAGGTGCATGGATGTGTGATAATAATAAAGTTAAACATTAATAATGAATAATAATAATAATATAAGAAAGCTGCAAGTGCAGAGCCTAAGATAAATTAATTGATTCTTTTACTGTCAAGCTGGAGGTTTGTCTCTTCTCTCCATTTCCTCCTCAACATGTCAGCAGCTCCAGTCACTGGACCTCCAATGTTTGAAAGAGCTTCAAGAAAATCCATACAGTGAACTTCAAGTTCAGCAATGCTGGATTTCATTTTTAGCCCAGTGATGAAATTCCTAATAATGGAGTCATATGAAGGATTCTTCCTAACTGAGTGAGTGATGATATTAGCTGCACTCAATCCTAAGGCAATGTCAGGAAGAGAATCTTCAAATATTTCACTTAGTACAACTTCTTTATTTCTTATAACTGCTATTAACCTGTCAGTGATAGACTTGACGTCAGTACCTGTACATTGTAAGTAAAATACAGTTACATTATGTTCACATTGTTAGCTTCACCTTCTGCTCTTAATCTTTTAGTTGGTGTATCAGCAACAAGTAATGGAGCAACTAATAATAAAATTAACAATTATTGTATCTGATGTTCATGCACAAAAATGTATCAATTACCTGATGGTGTAGTAACAGTAGTAGTAGTTCTTAATGATCTGTGGATGAAGATTGTTACTGGATCATCAACACCATCCAGTGGTATAGCATAGTGTAGCATAGCTTCAGTACCAGGAGCAAGTGATCCGTAAACTGAAATGATACAAGTAGGAGGAAGTGGGTAATCCTTTTTGCCAAAGTTATCAATGTCTTTTTTAGATAGCTACATTAAAAAAACAATAATGTTATTGTTAAAATGTCCATTTTAATGTATGATGTGCTTACCCTGCAAGGTTCAATATGTGATTGAATTGTCCAACCAGTAAATGGGTACTTTTGTGGCATGTGATTCAATATCAGCTCAATGTGTTTAGAAGAATCGTTGAAACAAAAGTAGACATTCTGTCCCATCTCAGCTTTAGAATGATAATCTTTAACATACTATACAATACAAACACACATTCACTCAATATACTCTACATATAACAGTCATTACCTCAAGAAGGGCATTCAGATTCTTAGCAGCAGCAAACGTAACTAGATCTTCAACACCTTTTACTTCATAATAAACTATTCCAGCATATGTCATTGATTCA